TACTTATTACATGACTACTTAAATATGTCAATAAAAACAAATGCGTAAATAAATAAAACTATAAAGAAATTAATCATTCAAATATCAATAAAATAGTGATGAAATATTGATTTGAGTTTTTTTTCTTTAATGTATTTTATAAGAAGAAATAGTGATATGAAAAATATATCTGATATGAGAACCTTGCATAGCTATGCAATTGGTTTCCTTGGAAAAACAAAACTGGTAAATTATATAAAAAGATTTCACTGCAGATTAACCAATTAGAATCCAGTATTCCAGAATGCCTTGTAATATTTTTCTTCAATTTTTTTTCCATATTTCCTCCAGTCTGCAAACTTCAAAGAGTTTGCTATTATACAAGTATAATTGTAGGAAATTCCTGTAATAATACATGCGAAACATCCGCTGTTATTGTAGTAGTACACACATTTCTGGTGTCTTCTTGGGTCATAAATATGAAACTGAAAATGCTTTGTATGTATTGCAGAACCCTCTCGTGAGTTGCGTTCCATGTTGCGTCATCTAATTGACATGCTTCCTGCATCCAGCGTGTCTGGAGCCGGACGTGACAGCGCCATCAACCTGCTGGTCAAACAGGTGCCACGAAAATCCTTGAAAAACCCAGACAACTCTCTCACCCTGTGGGTCATCGACCAGGGTACGTTTGACAGGCTTTGATCTGCTCTCATCTGAGATTTAGTAGACATGTGTAGACAGGTTTTCCCTGTGTGACATCACTGATGACACCTGAACAGGTCATTTGATGCCTTTTTTTTTTACTTTTCTTTAGGGCTGAAGAAGATTCTAGAAGTAGCAGGAACTGTACCCGAGGTCAAAGGTGGGCCGCTGCTCACGGACAACACTCCTATGAGCTGCTCCGTTCTGCTTAATAAGCTTTATGATGACCTGAAGAGTGATAAAGAGAGGGAAAACTTCAACAAGCTCTGTGAGGAATATGTCCAGTAAGTTATATATAGGCAGAATTGTGAGATACAAAGTCACAATTACCTTCCATAGTTATTGCATAGTAGAAAAATAGTTACATTTTCTTGTCACTTTCCATTTTCATTTTTTTTTTTACAGGTATCACTTTGGCAGCTCAGATATGGAGAGTAAGCTACGAGCGATACAGACAGTCTCTGTACTGCTGCAGGGTCCCAGTGATGTGGGAAATCGCACTCTGGAGCTGAGCGGTATCATGGATGCTGTCATTTCCCTTTGTGCAGCCGAAAACATCACTCACCAGCAGGTGGCAGTGGAGGCGCTCATTCACGCCGCCGGAAAAGCCAAGAGAGCCTCCTTCATCACAGCCAATGGCGTGGCTCTGCTGAAAGACCTGTACAAGAAGAGCGAAAATGACCGGATACGTGTGCGAGCACTGGTGGTGAGTGTTCAGACTCAAAGACATCTACATTATGAGAGATTTATCTTTTTTTTTTTTCCTCAATTCTGTACGTTTGGTGTGTGATTTGTAGGGCTTGTGCAAGCTTGGCTCCGCTGGAGGCACCGATTTCAGCATGAAGCAGTTTGCAGAAGGTTCAACACTTAAACTCGCCAAGCAGTGCAGGAAGTAAGTTTTGAGCTTTGCTAATAGACCAATTCGGCGTTTGCAAACAGTGATGACGATTTTTTTTGTGGGCGGAGCCTATCTGGTAGCAGAAAATGACCGTTTTCAAGTAGCGGTCTATGGAAGCCATGGAATAAAAACAGGCAAATTTAAATGTATATTTCAAAATTTTGACTTTATTCTCAATTCCGAGATTATATCACACAAGGAAAATCAACTCGTCGTTCTCTCTTTTCCCCTCGGCTCAGAATCATGAGTTTATATCGCTGACTTTCCTCAGAATTGACTAACTCGCTATTGTTGAGTTAAATCGAGTCCATATAAACTTGCATTTGCAAGAAAAAGTCAGAATTGTGAGATGAAATACATAAATGTTATGTAAAATGTTAATAGCAATAGGTTAAAAAAATTATTTCATGCTGTATCTGTAGGGCTAATACAATATGTTCCCTATGAACTGCATATGTGAATATTATGTAGACCTATTGTTTAAATCAAATTTATGCTTTAAAAGTAGAGTAATCATAGCAATTTTCATCCATAGACAGTCTGTCCGTTTAAACGTCTGCCTTTAGTTTAAAATGGCTTCTTTGACGACAGTATTCTATAAAAAATTATTTGCATTCCGATTCTGACATCCAAAGGAACAAAAATAATTTCTTTCTCTTATTCCATGGATTTAACCATTTCCCTCCACTTGTTACCAGTGTTTTTCTGCCACCTGATGTAATTATGACGTCTATAGCGTTGTAGTGATCCGTTTTGCAAGGGTAACTACTAATTTCCCTCTGCAGTTTAAAAAATCCAGTTTATAAATCAAGCTTAACCCTTGTCCTTTAAAGGTGACATACCTGGAAAAGTCTGATTTTCATGATTTTAAGTGCTATAATCAGGTCCCTGGTGCAGCTACCAACCAAGGAAACGTGAAAAAGATTAACCCAGTAACTTTGTTTCCAAACTCATTATATAGGTTTGATATTAAGGTTTTATCATGATAGACACCAATTTAACTGCGGTGACACACAACATGCCTTTATGTTAAAATTAAATAAAACCACTTCTCATAAAGAACAAGAACATGGTCTTCTTTTTAATGAAATACCAATGGTTATATAGGCTAAATATACATTCTTTATAGCAACTCGTTTACCATATTCTTCATTCTTTCAAGCAGACATATTTATTTCTATAAATAAATTTAGATTAATCTTTAGGGCTACTAAAGTTTTTCAGGCAAGAGCAGTGCATGATTTTCTGTCTTTCTTTTGTTACTTGATTAACATCAATGACTCGGACAATAGCAACTCAATTAGGCTGCTGTCCCTTTAAAACCGAATGCACAGCTGCAATGGATGCAATGTACTGATACACGTTCTCCCTACTTTCACTTAAGACGTAATCAACTGTGTTTACGTGAATACTCATCAAAACGTATTTAGATGTATAAATCTAAATTTCGAAAATTCACCCTTATGACTGGTTGTGTGGTCCAGGGTCACATATGTTTAAGGAAAATTGTTTATTTATAATAAATATATCTTTTTATTAATGTATTATTTTTATTTATTATTTTGTGAATATGTAAGAAATTGTTTTATTAATTAATGTACAATTATATTATTAGTTAAATATTTACTATTAAACAAATTATTTGATTTATTCATTTATATATTACTTACTAATATCCATTACTAAAATTTTGTTAATATTATATATTGTTTTATATATTATATTGATATTGATATTTCATTATTACAGTTTAAATGATAAAATAATAAATATTTTCTGTTATTTGTATGTATAATAAATTATTTAATATATTAATTTATATATTATTAATGCGTATTATTATTGTCATTTAGTTATATTTATTTACATTTTTAAATATATATTATTTTTTATATGTTGATATTATATTATTACGTTGAAAATATGAACAAAATATAAGAACATGTAATATCTATTGATCTATTATACATCTTTATAATGTCAATATAAAATGTCTTGTAGACATGAAACATTATACATTATTTACACATCTATATTTTATTTGAATATTTAATAAATTATTTAATGTATTGATTTATATATTATTTATTATTTGGTTATATTTATATACATTTTTTAAATGTATAACATTATTTTATATATTATATTTATGTTGTTGATATTACATTATTACATTGAAAATATAAACTTAAAATATAAGAATATGTAATATCTATTATATCTATTATCTTTATAATAGCAATATAAAATGTCTTGTAGACATGAAACATTACACATTATTTACACATCAAAATATATTTCTTCCTATATTTTAAGAGATATCTTTGTTTTTTTTTTGCCTTATATTTTAAGAAAGAGGTCTGTCACAAGGGGATCATCATATTTGGGTAGTTTTTATTAATCAAAAACTCTGCTCATATTCAGCTGGTATTCATATGCAGTACCAGAAGCATTTAAATCTATGCAGATGTCTTCGTTTTACCCTTTTAATTTTGCAGCAAAAGCTAATTTATATGTTTGTGCCTATGTAAAGCAGACCTCTTTAGAGAAGCAGAATGATCTAAAATTGCAAAGGTGTACATGCAGGTGGCCTTCAGCTGTCTTTCTTTCCCAGGTGGCTCTGCAACGAAGCTCTTCCCCTAACATCCCGGCGATGGGCTATCGAGGGTCTGGCCTACCTCACGCTGGACGCCGATGTGAAAGAGGACCTGGTGGAGGATAAGAAAGCCCTTCAGGCCATGTTTGAGCTGGCTAAGGTATCGCCTTTCTCTCTGTTTTGGAGATTGCCCATAATGCTAATCGGTGACATCTATGCAACTCCATGTTGTCATTTTCTTTGCAGTCTGAAGACAAAACAGTGTTATACGCAGTTGGATCGACGCTGGTTAACTGCACCAACAGTTATGATGTTGAGAAGCCAGACCCTCAGATGGTGGAACTAGCTAAATATGCTAAACAGCACGTACCTGAGGAGCATCCAAAGGTAAGTATGACAAATACGGTGAACATGTTTGTTAAAAATGAACATGCTTTCTCTGTTTGCGTAATCTTATGTCATTTCAAACCCGTATCACTTTCTTTTTTTTTTCTGAAGAACACAAAAGAAGATGTTTAGCAGAGTGTTCATGCTGCTCTTTAAAAGCATATGGTGAACAAGTTCCAAAAATCACCATAAATATGACTTATTGGCACCTTCTGAAGCCACGCTTTAGTTGTGTGTGAAAACAGACCACAAATTCAATAATTAATGTTCTTTTCTGTCCTTTTGTTATGGAAAAAGGAAAGTCACGGGTTTGAAACAACATGAGGGTGAAGAAATGAAATTTTTATATTACAGTGACTACAGTAATGTCTCATCATGTTTTCATGTAGGATGCCCGGTCGTTTGTAGAAAAGAGAGTGGTGAAGCTCTTGGAGGCCGGGGTGGTGTCAGCGTTGGTTTGTATGGTGAAACAAGAGAGTCCCGCCCTCACAGAGGCCTGCAGAGAGTGTATCGCCAGGTCTGCTTTCAGTTTGATCATGTCTAGAAATATTCTGAAGCACAATCAATTTGAAAAATTCTGGCCAAATTCAAAGGCTGCCACGGTAAAAGTAATTGATCTGCACTCCAGTTTTGGCCCTTTCCCACTGCTGGCACAACTGCTGTCCCAAATTCAGATTAAGCCTTGGATCAATTTGTTCCTTCAGGGGAGATTGTTTGAAAATGGATTTCAGTGTGCAAAATGGTTATTCTCCGCCCAAGGAAATGGCCCTTTTATCAGATTAAATAAAGTCTCTCTTCCTCTCCCTGACAGGGTGATTTTGGCTCTGGTGGAGAGACAGGAGGACAGAGGGTTAGTTGTGGCACAAGGAGGAGGAAAAGTAAGTATATTCTTCATCTCGCCTGTTGAGTTTCAGAATGAGAACATTTCACACCATTAATTTAATGTACATTACCGTTCAAATGTTTGTGATTGGTAAGATTATAAATAGTGCTGTCAAATGATTAATCGCGATTAATCGCATCCAAATTAAAAGTTCTTGTTTACATAATATATCTATGTGTTCTGTGTATATTTATTATGTATATATAAATACACACACATGCATGTATATGTTTCAGAAAAATAGGTTA